TTAAATATTTTAACTGAGATTTGGACAATTTATTCCCAAAAAAATTACAAATTTTACTATTTTGATTTAATAGTGCAATAACATATTTTACTGGAATAATTTCTTATTTTTTTACAAAGGAACTAGACATCTTATGCTCAAAATATTTTAAAAATTACCTAGTTTTTAATTAATATTGATGTGTGGCTTTGTGAACAATGAGCTTGTTCTGTGGTAAAAGGGCCACAAGGGCCGACGCCCACTCGGCCCATTGTTCCCGCACCTGGGTTCTGTTTCACGAACTGGCTCGTAATGTCTCCAACAAAGTAATTTATCCTCTCGGCCATGAAGAGGATCGAAATAATTAAATTGGAAAAGTTTAACACAATGTAGGACACGATATTAATTGATTAAAATTGATTATACATTACAGAAATCAATATCCCTCTTACATCCATCACCTGGCTTTTGGGCATATAACACTATTTTGATTGATTCATTTTGGTTCTGACAAAACAACCTGACAATTTCTATAATCAAAGGTAAAAAATTGATCAATAATCACAGGTGTTGGTTGTTATGTGCTAAATATTGCACGTTAGTTTTAAAAGTTTGGCCAATATTATTACCACTGTTAAAAGAAGTCTTCACGTTACAGAATTAATTTTTGATTTAATGACCACCCCTTTTTTGAGTGGGTTACATTGTGCTATGTTCTTTCTCCAGAGGACTTAGCAATGTCAGTACTGCTGACAACAGTTGAAGTAGTAGAACGTCAGCCAAACCGCTCATGAGTTATTGTCATAATATGTTTACAATGATGCCAGAGGGTAACATGACATGCGAACATATAAAATTTAATTTAACATTTTACTGATGTAAATGAACTTTTTACCGCCTAATGTACCTATTTATGGACCATGATGAACTGACTGGTCACTTACTGGGTCCATCTACTCTTGAGGACTCACGGAACTTCTTGTGTAAAGTCGAAACACATTTGAGTCATATCGAAACCAGCAAGTGATAGATGGACCCAGTGTTTTCGACCATCAACTTTAAGTTTTAATTGTTTTATATCTAGTTCAATTTTATAGTCAAGGTGGTTTATATTTCCAAGGTTGCTTACTATAACGGCTGCGATGTCACTATCTAGTCGACCATCTGTATCCGTCAATATTTCAAGTTGGTTGAAAGATCAAACTATTCATTATTCATAAATTTGAAATTTCTTAAGAGGTCAGGAGTGAGAAAGAATACAGTGAAAAGAATTGGACTTAATAAACATCCTGCATCATGGTAACATGGCAAATGAAGCTGAACTGTCTTTGTGCCAGAGGACCCCTGGTATCCGTTTACGTTAGAGACTTTTATGAAGGCAATTATATTACATTTTATTTATTTTATTATTAATTTTTTTCAATTTTGAGATTTGGTATGTGTATTAGCACGATGGGTGATGAACTGTAACTTGTTTGTTCCAATAATTTTCGGTCCGTACGTTCTAGTTTGGTGTCGTTTGCGTTTCAGTATCTAACCATCTTCAGTGTCAGGTCTGGGTGATTTTTATGAAATCAAGTGTTTTTTTAGGTAGTTACATCCTCTGCGGAATCATGAACATGTAGCTTGATCAGTTCGAATAGACTGGTCTATTTATCGTCGATATTTTGGTCTAGCATACGCATTTCAGCTTCTGACCATGTTTGAAGGTCAGCATTATAAATTACGTGAAACAAGACGACAAAGCCACCACAGAAGATTGCTAAATATCAAAACGCATACGGATGACAAGGGCGAATGAAGACGTACCCAGTAAGAAGCAATTCAACTTGTTTTCACCGAAGCGTAGACCAATATCAACTAAAAACTTTAGGTTCAAATTAACACATAAAAGGTCAATTTAAAAAAAAAAAATTCAATTTTTTAAAGAAAAAAGTCAATTTGGTTTGGAAAAGGTACATAAGGTAATCTTGATCCCTTAGAAGAAGTCTTATCTGGAGTTTACAAAGTTGAAACTAAATACCAATATTGTAAAATAAAGGCATGTAATAAAAATGGCAAACAATATTTATTTTAACGAAAATTGTTCTACCTGCTAAACATTTGTAATGGTTTTAGTGCTTTTGGTACATTTTTAGTCGTATTTTGTGTTTGAGGTTAGTTAACAGCAGTGTACATTTTTAATCAATTTGCCTTGTTGACCTTGCCCTTTAAAAAAAAGTAGTCCTGCCATTATCATTTTATTAAGAAGTGTAAAACGGAAAATCCTAGGGGGGTTGGATACAATTCATCCTGAAATATTCATTTTAATTCAAGGACGTCCAAGGATCTCTGGGATTAATAACACTCCGCCTTTGTTCAACCAAGAAGTGTAGAGTGGCTTTAAATTACTTATTCACTGAATACCTAGGCCCTTTGTCATTTTTAAAAAGAGCATCGAGCCTTCACAACCAACGGAAGGTTTCATATCGCTTATTATTCTATAAAATGCAAAGTGAGCACAGTATAAATGAAATCAGCTGGGTGTAAGGGGTAAAAACAGGTCCGATGTGTAGGAATGACACAGAATTACTTTCGGTCCTTTCGGTAAAAACCAATAATAGCAAATAAAATAGGGTCCTTCATTCGATTTCCAACGATCATACGAAAAGTGCAGACTTTTTTCTATACATTTAACTATTTGATGTGTGCGCAGGCTTAAACTTTGGCAGAAGATTTTTAAAATTTCTTCGCTCAACAGAACAAAAAAAATCGACTGCACCGTGCCAGTAAACATGAAAAATTGTGCCGTTCTATGAAAAATAACTAAAAACAAGGTAGGGCTAATTTACCTAACTGAGAATGTCACAGCACAGTGACAGTTTAATTGGGAGTTTAGCAAGCCTTTGTCCCAGTACTTTTTGCTGTTGTTATTAATTAGAAAGAAAATTGTGATATAACACTAAGAAATTAAACCTGCAGTATTAAAATTCAAGAAAAATAAACAAGATTTTATTTGTTTAATACTAATTGTTTATGGCGAAATAATTAACGTAAAAGTTTATGTTTCTTTTAAAATCTATCCCACAATCCCTAACGCCCTAATCCTAAAACTGGCATATAAGGGACTGCTTCAATGCTGCCGAAAGTAATGTACATCTTTGCTTCTGTTCGTAAAATAAGATGTTATTAGCATTCCTTACTTTCAAAAATAACAAGTTATTTATTTGATTAATTAAGATTTACAGAGAAAGAATGTACAAAATATGTAAAGTTTGAATTAAAGACTAAATTATTTAAAAAAAAGGAAAAAATCACTATATGAGATGTACAAAAACCTGTATGTAGATTATTTGACAAATAAGAATTACATTTCATCAGAGAAGAGGCTTTAAATCTGAATTTTTCTCGTGTACATATTGTAATCAAAATAAATGTCGTAATTTTAATTTGATTGAAGATACATATAATTTTCCTCGCGCTATGTCCAATAAAGTAACGTAGGGTTAAGAAATTTAATCGAGAACTTTTGACAAGGCACATTTTAAGAGTGATATTAAAAGGCGATAAATGTTAAACATTATATGGCTACATTGTACAAGCTATAAAATATAGGAAGGAATTAATAAGTGATTTCCAATTTTGAAGGGTGATGCCTTTTAATAGGCAGGTTTAATCATAGTAACTTGTTATTTTATATTTTTATATTAGTGCATATTTACAAAATTTGCACTTGCATGTATGTACACAAGGTGTTTTGTGACATTTTTATTTATTTTTGAAAAGCAAATGTTTTATATATTGTTATTAACAATTATTAATTTTATACATTTATTCCGTATTGGTATTCAACGATAATTTCAATTAATGTGGACGGAAATTATTTTTGCATGAATTTCTTCAATAGCTTGTTATCTGTCTATCTATCCATTTTTTAAAAATATTTTTGGGTGTATAATACATACAAAGAAAACGTTTTCAGGTCTAGACTGTTATTCTCTTTGAAATTTGTTTATTCGTAAAGCTTTTCCAAATCGTACAAATGAAGTCTTTACTATTACTTGACCAATTCATATTTCAAATTTGACCGACTGTCAAACAGAAAAAAAAAATTGAGGAAAAACACTTAGCATTAGATAAACGATAATTTTGTGAGACGTAAAAGACAATTAAATAAAATTAATTAATAATTTCAACTACCTTTCGTAAAACACAAAGGTTTCACTTATCACGATTAAGTTAATAATTTTAACGAATGAAGTTTAATGCGTGCTTTCTCGCGTTTTTCTGAACAATACATTTTTACAATAAACTGAACTGTAAAAAAAATTGTTCTGCCCGAATTGATTACTTATTTACATTTTCTTAACAGTTAGAGTGGTTTACAATCATAAAATTACTTATAGCTAAATAGAGAACGTCTTTTAGTTGACAGAAAATAATTCAAAATGTATTTGTGAAAAATGTATTCATTCATCCTGTTAATGCTGCAATTTCTCTGTGTTTTTTTAAATTATAAAATCTAGAAAATGACCCAACGCCATTTTTAGCTATGTTCGAAACAATTATGAATATATTTTACTGAATTTGCTTAAAAATTAAGTCTAACTTATCAGGATTAAGTTATAACTTGAAAAGAAAATTTGACGTGCACGTTTTGCAATGCAGATTGTTTTAATTTAAGTGCTTATTGTGCTACAAGAGATAGCTTTTTTATTATATTGAATAGTTAAAATCTTCAAAAAGCAAAAGACCTTTTTTTAAATTAAGACTTTATAATTCGCAATGAAAAAATTAAGACACTGTTAAACATAAAGACAAACTTCAAAAACTTAATTTTTGATTGGAATGGGGAAAAGTAAATATGTATTTACTGTGTTCAAAATAGTTATTGAGAGATTTTTAGAAAATAGTTTGGAAAATGAACGGTCAGTTTTTTCTGGTGTTTAAAAATTGGAATGTTTTTATTTTACAGTGAAATAATTTAAAAAAAAATAATTAGAGAATAATAGAGACTAGATAAAAAGATATTAGCGACGTACCTCGTGTACTAATCCACATACTGACAGAGGAGACCCTTTCCAGACACCGTCAGGCACCGTACTAACTCGAAACGCCCTGGCACGCCTGTCTATATTGATCCTCCCTCTGAGTCTCGTTACTGCGCAACCACTATTGTTTCCAGCACTAAGTTTTAAAAGAGGGCCCTTGATTTATCTGGTATATGCGAGGGACGTGATTTTGGTTTCGTTCCATCCCCTTTCCATTTTTTCGCCACCTATGACTTGTTATCTAGCGGGGGGGCGTGCGGCCGGCTGGATCGCGTGTGCGTGAAAGTGATTTACGCGCCCTAGGAAGATGTCAACCCGTTCGCCGGGGTCCCGTTATGTTTGTAATAACTGTCTCGCCCTGCTGACGAGGCGAAAACCTCATTTGACGACCCTGATAAAGAGGGATGGAAAAAAATCCGGGTCCAAGGATTCTACAGACGAGAAAAAAACCTGTTCTAGTTTTGTGCTGGGTTACCTACGACCTACACAGGAAAATCGTCTTCAAACGACAATGATCGTTTGCAATAAGAACGCAAGTTTTTTTCTAAACCTCATAGGAACTAAAAAAATTTGTATATTTCATTAAATTGGAATATATGCCTTGCAATTTGATCGTTTTAGTTCATTTTGACCTGCCTTCATCTCTTTTTGGGTCTGTATCAGGCGTATATATGTATTGTTGGCTTGCGTGGACATGATTGCCAAGATAAACCTTTGAAGATGGCGAAATGCTGAAACGATTCAGATAGACCAGAAAAGCGAGTATAAGCGATTTAGAATGATAGAAAACGACAAAAGTACATGTTCATTATCCAGATGACCCCACGACGATACTTCACACTTTAACAAAAAAATTCTTGTTCGCTTTGTCTTGGTAATTTTTTTGGATTGACCCAACATAAAACCTCGGCAGACGAAAATTTGTACGAACAGTTACAATAAGAATTAAAATACAAGAAAAAATAGACAAAAGCACATAAAAGAAAATAAGCTAACAATAATTGAATCAATAATCAACAATAATTGAAATATTTCGTAACAGCCTTTAGTTATCACTCTAAATGTCAGGCAATACTGTCTTTCTTTTTTCTTAAGCTTTGTGCGTAGACACTTGCAATTGCTGAGTCTGGATTTCCGTAATTTTGTAATTGTTAACAAAATATAAAAATTCACTAGTTTACGTGGTCCGCTTGACCAATTAATATCTTTCAATTAATTAAGGTTTTTAGTTGAGATAAAAAAGTCAGTGTCACGAGCGGTATTCGAACCCACGATCTTGAAGTCACGATAGCTCAAGTGGTAGAGTAGCGGCGTATCTAGCCGAAGGCCGTGGGTTCGAATCCAGCTCGTGACACTGACTTTTTTATTTTAACTAAAAATCTTAATTAATCGAAAAAATAATAAAAAGTTAAGACTCTTTGAATTCTGCCGTACGGTGAAGTAACAATTTGGTCGTTAGTGAACATTTGGGCAGCCTATTTTCTTCGTTTTGATCTGCTGACGCGTATTGATATTAGTCTGGGTTATAAGCAAGGTGAAGCAAGACAATTAATAAGATGGCAACATCCATACCAAAACTAATGGGATGGCAGACCAAAATGATCGCAAACGTCCGACTTATATTTTTAAAATATTGATAGAAAAATCATGTCAATCTGATAATAGCACGGAACCGAACAAAATTTAAGTTTTTATGACATTCGTCTTTCCCAGCGTACTTGAAAAGTGTAATATTTTTGAATGAGCATTGTAATCGATTTCGCTACGCTTGGACGATTTAGTGCAATCAAGGGAGTTAATTGAATTGGCACAATTCGACTTTTATCGACATACTCGAAACATAACCGGTTGGACGGCTTTTTATCAGTCATTCGTAAATTTCACATCGAGCTTTTAACGGCGATCATGCAGTAAAGCACAAATGAACGAACCAATAAAGAAAATTACTTGATAATCTGATGGGTCACCGGATGAAATGATTGGGTCGGTATTAAAAACGTTCATTCGAATTCTTCAATGCCAAACATCGGTTTATATGTAAGTTGTTTATTACCTGATTTTGATTTAGATCAAGTTTTTCAATTTGAATTTTTACGACTATTGTCATTACAACTAGCAATATAAAATGTACATAAAATAAAAGAAAATATATATTTAATAAGAAAACATTTCTGAATTATTCATTAAAATATGTTGCTAATTTAAATCCAATATTTTTTTAATTAATTAATTAATTTAATTTTATAAATTCCTTCAAATTCAGGACTTTATTAAATTTTGTAAAAGTTTAGCATGTAGAGGAAATTTCTCTCTTTTCTCTCTGTTTCAGTAAAATTATGAATTAAAAAACATACCAGACATTTTTACACGTTTGATCATTTCTGGTTGTCAGCAAAGATTAAAACTTGTGTTAAAAAAAACAACTGTTAATTCGTTTAAGTTGTTACAGTTATGTGTTACGTTTTAAGTGAAATGCTTTGGGATTTTATGATTTCTAAAACATATTCAAATTAGTCTTTCAAAGGTTACTCAGCTCATTCCTGAATGTTTCACATAGATGTTTAAGCATTATTTTAATAACGCTATATTAACGGTTATTTAAACTTCCCGATCAGAGCATCTTTCTAATCCTTCCTAATTTAAAACAGTAATTTTACGATGAACTAGATTATCGACCTGCTGGATACAAGAAGTCTTTTCAGAGGATCTTCGGAAGAGGTCAAAACAGAGAAAACTTCCTTACGGTTTTCGCCGAGCTTTCGAGATCCGTATCCTTTGTTTCCCCTCGTCGTAGAGATTGTTTTTATCGGTTTTTATTGATTTGATCTGTGATCCTACTTTATTGTTTTTAAAATAAGTTAATTGTATATATATATATATTTATATTGGGGAACGTACTGTGATCATTTGTACCTGAAAAACTAAAAAAAGGTGGATTTTATTGGTTTTTTAGACTTATATGAGATGCTGAGCCGAAAAGAACATAATTTACTTCTGTGCCCAAAACACCATGTTGTTTAATTTCCTATTAAGGTTTTAAAGCCCCGAAGATGACAGTATAAAACTGTCGAAAGCTCGGCGAAAACCGTAAGGAAGTTTTCTCTGTTTTGACCTCTTCCGAAGATCCTCTGAAAAGACTAACAGTAATTTTCTTAATACTAATATTCATCTTATTTACCCTTCCCTTGCCGCCTTTCTGCATATTTTAGGAACATTTCTTTCATATTTAAATAAAGGAAATTTATATTTTTCAAAACACTAAGCAGTAAAAAAATATTTTTCAGAGAGTTTCAGAAGTTGAAATAGGGGATTTTCATTGAGCCTTTCAGTACATTTATGATAGCAGCCGAAGCCAAGCATAAAACTCGATGTTATTTATGGCCGCGGCTTGATTACCGGCGGGAAGAATAAAAATTCCCCATCATAAACTCTCATAATTCAGTCCATCAGGTGTTTTTAAATGATAACTGATAACAATTCTTGAAATTAATTTTTAATGATTAAATTCACTAGTTTTCGTGGTCCGCTTGACCAATTAAATCTTTCAATCAATTAAGGTTTTTAGTTGAGATAAGAAAGTCAGTGTCACGAGCGGGATTCGAACCCACGACCTTCGGCTAGATACGCCGCTACTCTACCACTTGAGCTATCACACCAACTTCCCATCTCAACTCCACCTTTTTGAATTTTTTACGATAGCTCAAGTGGTAGAATAGCGGCCTATCTAGCCGAAGGTCGTGGGTTCGAATCCCGCTCGTGACAATGACTTTTTTACCTCAACTAAACAAATTTTTAATTATTCTGAATTTCTTATTTGCGTATCTGTGTGATCAATATAAAAATAGATTGATAGGGGAAAATACAAAAAATTATTCTTTATTTGAACTCTAAGCTTAGATATTATTGTTAATTCAGGAAACCTTCCTTATGCATATCCTTTATTAAATTGGTTGGAATTTCTTGGTACAGCCATCAAATTATAATCTTAACATTTTTAATTATCTTTTTAACAATCCTCAACTGTCTATCTTACAATTATATTTGAGCCGTTTTAAAAGAGTGAAAGTAAATCAAACACAGATAAAATCTCCAACTTGTGTTTACGACTGTATTTTGTAAATAAATCTTCGAATAGTTAATCTTTTCTTTGTTGGTTTTTCTAACGTTCCAGTGGTTTGATTTTTTTAAATTGTACCATTCTTAATTTTCTGTATGTTTGGGAGGTGGTTAAAAATGATACAGATTCGGCAAGAATCATAGCATTGTTGGAAGATGGATGAAGTCAAATGTATGTGGCCAGGGTGCTCAACATTCCCAGAACAGATATTCGAAGGTTCTCCCATCGCTACCAAGATACTGGAGGTTACTCAAGAAGGCATGGATCAGGTCGCCATCGTGTCACATCTGAGAGAGATGATCGTTTTATTGTTTGGAATGTACTCCGTAATCGACATTCTACCGCTGTTGAAGAAGAAGCAACACTTCAAGTTAGAAATGCAAGATTGGACTGAAATCTTGTTTTCGGACGAGTCAAGGTTTTGGAGATTAATAGGAGAACAATATATGCACGCGCGACATAATATCACTCACTCCGGAGAAGCTATGGAGGTAGTGGTAGTGGCCCTTAACAAGCTTGTCGACCACTATACACTACACGTAATGACCTCAAAAAATTAATAAAACCAGGGATATAAAATTAAAAAATTGACATCTTTTTGTAGACATCAACCTTATTTTTCTTACTTATGAGCACATATAATCGAAACATTGTTTACATAACCAAAACATTAGAAATCCATTTTTCCAACGGTGGCAATAGAGTTTAATTCACATAAAAATTAGAATAGTTATAAATTTTTTAGTGAACCAGACATCCGAAAAAAATTGCATCCCGGATAATCCGCCCATAAAATTTCTATTTTGAATTGACAAAAAACGTCGTACTTTAGACCTTTCAATGGAGCTTAAAACTTATTTTAATTTAAAATATAAAAGTATATATATTTTTGGCCTACTGTTCTGAAGCCTTCTTTTGGTTTTTATAATTTTTGATGTTTGTACCAATCTAATCTCATTTATTAAGATCACG